CAGGGTTCAGGGTTTAGGGTTCGGAGTTCAGGGTTCAGGGTTCAGGGTTTAGGGTTCGGAGTTCAGGGTTCAGGGTTCAGGGTTTAGGGTTCGGAGTTCAGGGTTCAGGGTTCAGGGTTTAGGGTTCGGAGTTCAGGGTTCAGGGTTCAGGGTTTAGGGTTCAGGGTTGAGGGTTTCGGGTTCTGGGGTATGGGTTCAAGGTTAGGGGTGTAGGGGGTTTTGGTTTTAGGGTTCAGGGTTTAGGGTTCGGAGTTCAGGGTTCAGGGTTCGGGGTTTTGGGGTTCGGGGTTCAGGGTTCAGGGTTTAGGGTTTGGGATTTAGGGTTTGGGGTTTAGGGTTTGGGGTTTTGGGTTTGGGGTTTGGGGTTTGGCGTTTGGGGTTTGGGGTTTAGGGTTTGGGGTTTAGGTTTTAGGGTTTGGGGTTTTTGGTTTGGGGTTTAGGGTTTGGGGTGTAGGGTTTGGGGTTCAGGGTTCGGCGTTTGTGGTTCAGGTTTCGTGGTTTGAGGTTCGGGGTTCACGGTTCACGGTTCAGGGTTCAGGGTTTTGGGTTCAGGGTTCAGGGCTCAGGGTTTACGTTTCAGGGTTTAGGGTTGAAGGTTTGCGGTTTAGGATTTGGGGTTTGGGGTTTAGGGTTCGGGGTTCAGGGTTCGGTGTTCGTGGTTCAGGGTTCGGGGTGGGGTTTAGGGTTTGGGGTTTGGGGTTTGGTGTATGGGGTATGGGGTTTGGGGTTTAGGGTTCAGGGTTCTGGGCTGCGGGCTCAGGGCGCAGGGTTTAGGGCTAGGGGCTCCGGGTTCAGGGTTCTGGGTTCAGGGTTGTGGGTTCGGGGTTTGGGGTTCGGGGTTTGGGGTTTAGGGTTCGTGGTTTTGGGTTTGGGGTTTAGGGTTTGGGGTTTGGGGTTTAGGGTTTAGGGGTTTGGGTTTAGGGTTTGGGGTTTGTGGTTTGTGGTTTGGGGTTTGAGGTTTGGGGTTTAGTGTTTGGTGTTTAGGGTTTAGGGTTTGGGGTTTTAGGTTTGGGGTTTAGGGTTTGGGGTTAAGGGTTTGGGTTTTGGGGTTTTCGGTTTAGGGTTTAGGGTTTGGGGTTTAGGGTTTAGGGTTTGGGGTTTGGGGTTTAGGGTTTAGGGTCTAGGGTCTAGGTTTAGGGTCTAGGGTTTAGGGTTTAGGGTTTAGGGTTTAGGGTTTCATGTTCAGGGTTTAGTGTTTGGGTTTGGGGTATGGGGCTTGGGGCTAAGGGTTTAGGGTTTAGGGTTTAGGGTTTAAGGTTCAAGGTTCTCGGTTCACGGTTCACAGTCCAGGGTTCAGGGTTCAGGGTTCTGGGCTCGGGGCTCAGGTCGCAGGGTTTAGGGCTACGGGCTTAGGGTTAAAGGTTAAGGGTTCAGGGTTCATGGTTCAATCTTAAGGGTTCAGGGTTCAGGGTTCAGGGGACATGGTTCAGGGTTCAGGGTTCAGGGTTCTGGGTTTAGGGTTCAGGGTTGAGGGTTTCGGGTTCTAGGGTCTGGGTTCAAGGTTGGGGGTTTAGGGGGTTTTGGGTTTAGGGTTCAGGATTCAGGGTTCGGAGTTCGGGGTTTAGGGTTCGGGGTTCGGGGCTTGGGGTTCGGGGTTCGGGGTTCAGGGTTTAGGGTTTAGGGTTTGGGGTTTAGGGTTTAGGGCTTAGGGCTTCGGGTTTGGGGTTTCGGGTTTGGGGTTTCGGGTTTGGGGGTTGGGGTTTGGGGTTTGGGGTTTAGGGTTTAGGGGTTTGGGTTTAGGGTTTGGGGTTTGTGGTTTGTGGTTTGGGGTTTGAGGTTTGGGGTTTAGTGTTTGGTGTTTAGGGTTTAGGGTTTGGGGTTTTAGGTTTGGGGTTTAGGGTTTGGGGTTAAGGGTTTGGGTTTTGGGGTTTTCGGTTTAGGGTTTAGGGTTTGGGGTTTAGGGTTTAGGGTTTGGGGTTTGGGGTTTAGGGTTTGGGGTTTGGGGTTTGTGGTTTGGGGAATGGGGTTTGGGGGTTAGGGTTCAGGGTTCTTGGCTCAGGGCTCAAGGCGCAGGGTTTAGGGCTAGGGGCTCCGGGTTCAGGGTTCAGGGCTCGGGGATCAGGGGACATGGTTCAGGGTTCAGGGATCAGGGTTTAGGGTTCAGGGTTGAGGGTTTACGGTTTAAGATTTGGGGTTTGTGGTTTAGGGTTCGGGGTTCAGGGTTCGGCGCTCGGGGTTTAGGGTTTGAGGTTCGGGGTTCACGGTTCATGGTTCATGGTTCAGGGTTCATGGTTCAGGGTTCAAGGTACACGGTTCAGGGTTCAGGGTTCAGGATTCAGGGTTCAGGGATTAGGATTTTGGGTCTGGGTTCAGGGTTGGGGATTTAGGGGGTTTTGGGTTTAGGGTTCAGGGTTCGGAGTTCGGGGTTCAGGGTTCGGGGTTCAGGGTTGGGGTTCGGGGGTCGGGGTTCAGGGGTTAGGGCTTAGGGTTTGGTGTTTGGGGTTTGGGGTTTGGGGTTTGGTGTTTAGCGTTTAGGGTTTGGGGTTTGGGGTTTGGGTTTTGGGGTTGGGGTTTTGGGTTTGGGGTTTAGGGTTTAGGGTTTAAGGTTAAGGGTTTACGATTCAGGGTTCAGGGCTCAGGGCTCAGGGCTTAGGGTTCAGGTTCCAGGGCTCAGGATTCAGGGTTCAGTGTTCAAGGCTAGGGCTCAGGGCTCTGGGCTCGGCGCTCGGGGCTCGAGGTTTGGTGTTCGGGGTTCGGGGTTCTGGGTTCAGGGTTCTGGGTTCGGGGTTTAGTGTTCGGGGTTCAGGGTTCAGGGTTCACGGATCCGGGTTTAAGGTTCAAGGTTCAGGCATCAGTGTTCAGGGTTCAGGGTTCAGGGTTTACGAGGGCTTAGGGCTCAGGGCTCGGGCTTCGGGGCTCGGGGTTCGGGGTTCGGGGTTCAGTGTTTAGGGTTTGGGGATTTGGGTTCGGGGTTCTGGGTTTGGGGTTCAGGGTTTGGGGTTTGGGGTTTGGGGTTTAGGGTTCGGGGTCACAGTTCAGGGTTCAGGGTTCAGGGTTCAGGGATCAGGGCTCAAGGCTCAGGGCTCAGGGCTCAGGGTTCAGGGCTCAGGTCTCATGGTTAAGGGTTAAGGGTTCAGAGTTGAGGGTTTAGGATTTATAGTTTGGGGTTTAGGGTTTGGGGTTCGGGGTTCAGGGTTCGACATTCGGGTTTCGGGGTTCACGGTTCACAGTTCAGGGTTCATGGTTCAGGATTCAGCGCTCAGGGTGTAGGGTTCAGGGTTCAGGGTTCAGTGTTAGGGGTTCAGGGATCGGGGTTCGGGGTTTGGGGTTTAGGGCATGGGGTTTGGGGTTTAGAGTTTAGGGTTTTGGGTTTAGGGTTCGGGGTTTGGGGTTTGTGGTTTGGGGTTTGAGGTTTGGGGTTTGGGGTTTAGGGTTTGGTGTTTAGGGTTTAGGGTATAGGGTTTAGGGTTTGTGGTTTTGGGTTTGGGGTTTAGGGTTTGGGGTTAAGGGTTTGCGGTTTGGGGTTTAGGGTTTAGGGTTTGGGGTTTGGGGTTTAGGGTTTATGGTTTGGGTTTTAGGGTTTGGGGTTCGGGGTTCAGGGTCTGGCATTCGGCGTTCGGGGTTCACGGTTCACAGTTCAGGGTTGACGGTTCCGGGTTCGGGGTTCAGGGCTCTGGGTTCAGGGTGTTGGGTTCATGGTTCAGGGTTCAGTATTAGGGGTTCGGGGATCGGGGTTCGGGGTTTGGGGTTTAGGGTTTGGGGTTTGGGGTTTAGAGTTTAGGGTTTTGGGTTTAGGGTTCGGGGTTTGTGGTTTGGGTTTTGGGGTTTGAGGTTTGGGGTTTAGTGTTTGGTGTTTAGGGTTTAGGGTTTGGGGTTTTAGGTTTGGGGTTTAGGTGGGGTTTGGGGTATGGGGCTTGGGGCTAAGGGTTTAGGGTTTAGGGTTTAGGGTTTAAGGTTCAGGGTTCTCGGTTCACGGTTCATAGTCCAGCGTTCAGGTTCAGTGTTTAGGGTTCAGGGTTCTGGGCTCGGGGCTCAGGGCGCAGGGTTTAGGGCTAGGGGCTTAGGGTTAAGGGTTAAGGGTTAAGGGTTCATGGTTCAATGATAAGGGTTCAGGGGACATGATACACGGTTCAGGGTTCAGGCTTTACGGTTCAGGGTTGAGGGTTTTGGGTTCTGGGGTCTGGTTTAAGGTTGGGGGTTTAGGGGGTTTTGGGTTTAGGTTCAGGGTTCAGGGTTCGGAGTTCGAGGTTCAGGGTTCGGGGTTTGGGGTTCGGGGTTCGGGTTTAGGGTTTAGGGTTTGGGGTTTAGGGTTTAGGGCTTAGGGTTTAGGGTTTAGGGTTTGGGGTTTTGGTTTTGGGGTTTGGGGTTTTGGGTTTGCGGTTTAGGGTTTAGGGTTTAGGGTTAAGGGTTTACGATTCAGGGTTCAGTGCTCAGGGGGCTCAGGGCTTAGCGTTCAGGTTTCAGGGCTCAGGATTCAGGGTTCAGGGTTCAGGATTCAAGGCTGGGGCTCAGTGCTCTGGGCTCGGCGCTCGGGGCTCGAGGTTCGGTGTTCGGGGTTCGGGGTTCAGGGTTTTGGGTTCAGGGTTCTGGGTTCAGGGTTCGGGGTTCGGGGTTCAGGGTTCGGGGTTCGGGGTTCTGGGTTCAGGGTTCTGGGTTCGGGGTTTAAGGTTTAAGGTTCAGGGTTCAGGGTTCACGGATCAGGGTTTACGGTTCAGGGCTCATGGCTCAGGGCTCAGGACTCGGGGCTCAGGGTTCGGGGTTCAGTGTTTAGGGTTTGGGGATTTGGGTTTGGGGTTCAGGGTTTGGGGTTTGGGGTTCGGGGTTTAGGGTTCGGGGTCACCGTTCAGGGTTCAGGGTTCAGGGTTCAGGGTTCAGGGCTCAGGGCTCAGGGCTCAGTGCTCAGGGTTCAGCGCTCAGGTCTCAGGGTTAAGGGTTCAGGGTTCAGAGTTGAGGGTTTAGGATTTGCAGTTTGGGGTTTAGGGTTTGGGGTTCGGGGTTCAGGGTTCGGCATTCGGGGTTCTGGGTTCACGATTCACAGTTCAGGGTTCATGGTTCAGGAACAAGTAGTTATCTAAAACAAGAACTATCTAGTATTTCCACCAACGCAGATCACAAACTCAATAAATACATTTGCCAGGAGGTAGTTTCCTACTTAAGTTTCTCTTACATATTCAATTGTGACGTTTGCGAAGGTAATACCTGGAAAGTTATTCTTTCTTTGTTTCAGGTAAATGACGCTCTTAAGATGCCATACTATGCGAACTTGGGACGACTGTCAAGCAGGAGAGCCATAGAGCATTATGAGACCGATAGTATGAAGATTCTGAAAACTTCTTATCGGTGAACTTTTTCGATTTTGATCCTTTCATTGACCTTCCTCCTTTTAAGAACTTTTTTATGCTCAATTACTTTAAATAGTCACATTTTTGTACTCTTTGTTTCAGTTCTTCAAATGTCCGCAACAAATATTTCCTTGACTTAGCAATTGAAGATTTCAACATGTGCCAGTCAATACATCGTGAGGAACTCAAAAATCTTTCCAAGTGCGTATTTCCTAACAGGAATCATGATATCTTCATGGAATTTTCTGAGAATTGTCCCTAAAAGTATCAGTGCTTGACTAGAAAAGTTGAGAAATGAAGCTAAGAAAACCTTCTCTCTTTTTTTTTTTTTTTTTTTTTTTTTTTTTCGT